CCTGAAATTAAAACAAGCATGCATATAAAACCATTTTTGTTTCCAACTCTTACCAAAACCTATTTGTCTGCATTTCTGTACCTCAACCTATATAGCCGCGATGGCAAACCGATGGCACATGTGCCAGAGGAGACACGCAGAGCCTTCTCTGTGGGCCCACGAGCTGTCACCCCAGCTCAGCTCTGCCGTGCATGCGCGTGCACACCTCCTGTCACCCAGCTGGTCTTTGGGTCTCTGCCGTGCATGCGTGGCAGGGGCGGAGTGCATGCATAAGGGTTGCACAGGGTTTGCACATGCCTGTGTGGGGGAGGGGCACATGCACGGGGTCATGCGCACACATGTGGGGGGCACATGCATGGGGGCTTGTACAGGGGTCACTGGGGGGTATGTGCAGGGTGCATGTGCACATTGCATTTTGGGGATGCATGTGTGCACACTTTGGGCACTTGCTGTTGAAAAGATTAGCCATCTGTCATGCCCCTGTTGGAATCTGATTCTGAGGGGGAGGTGGAACAGCTGACAGGGAGTGGGAGTGTGGCTCCAGTGGCTGTGGAGGAAACTGGGGAAGGGCATAGTCCAGCTGGGCCTTCAGAGGAAGACCCCTCTTCATCCTAGGAAACACAGGGAGGAACAGAGAAGGGAGCAACGTGGGTTACAGGGGAGAAAAGGGCCCTGATTACCTTCTTTAGCTGCAGCTGGGAAAACAGGATTTAAAAAGGGTGTTTGCACACAGAGCCTTGCTGGAAGCAAAATGTGAATTATCTTTGTTTGTGATGTCTTATCTGGGTTCTGGCATCCTTCCAACTGTGTTTTGTTATCTTTTTGAAGTCTGCAATTCTTTATTTTGCCCTGTCTTGTTAATTGCTGCAGTGTGGTTTGTGCTGGTTTTTATTTGTAATCTATATGTACTTTGGGTTCGGATGGAATTTCTTCCCTTTAAAAACTGTTCTTGGGACAGTTTTTTTCTCCAGCTGATGATAACTGGACATTGGGGGCCAAGTTGGAGGTATTAAAGGGACTTTACCTACTTTTGTGACTTTGTTGCTTTTCTGCCACACCCCGGGTCATCACACATATCACACATAGCATTCCTTCCATTGTGAAAATGCTGGGTTAAATTTCCTTAAAACGTCTTTTTCCCCCCTTCTGCTTTCTGTTAGAAAATCGCGTACTGCATCACGCCACACAATGAGCAGCCTCTAGTAGACCAAGGAGATGTAAGACAATTTAAGGTTCGTATTCTTGGCTTCTCAGTTCCATGGCATGTAAACCCTGGGAGGAGGAGGAATATTCAGGCGATCTTTTATTGATTTATTCTTCTCGTTAGGAAATATGTTTTTGACTATCCAAGTCAACTCGTGATGACTCTGAGTAGCTTACAGGAAAAAAAAAACCATTAAAAAAACAAAAACCCTTCAATGAATGGATGTATTTTAAATGTTTAAATGATTGTGATTGGTATTAGAAGTGTATATTGAGACACTGAAAAATGAAACAACGAAGGAGGAAACATCAACATAAATAGTTGTGAAGAGCTTAATAAGGGAAATACAAATAATAGAACAGTTGAAAGTTGGGAAACAGAAAGGATGCGTCTTTAAACATTATGGCATAAGAGGGGGAGTTAAAATAGAGATAGAAATAAGAGGGGAATAATAATATGTATGTATGTATGTATGTATGTATGTATGTATGTATGTATGTAT